AATGCTTCTCTGAGTAGTCCATTAGTTCACCGTTCTCGTGCGTGTCGTTCCTTTCGAATTCAGAAAATTTAGATGATCCAGTGTGTGGGACACTGTGGGAATTAAAAGCACTCAAATGCTAAGCGTGTGGGACACTGGGAAATTCTAAGCGTACTTTGATTGTCCGTTTTGCTTTTCTATGATTACGTAATCTCTTTTGTTTTTTATTTTGTTTTTTCCCCCTCCTTTTTTTTCGTTTTTTCTAATTTCCCTGTCGCGGCTGTGTGTGTGTTGTTCTTTTGCGTCTCCCCTTTGAGATCCGCCTCAGAGTTCTTTCAGTCATACGCAAAATGCATGCATTGGGCCTCTCGCTCCAGTACACGACACACTGCATGCTGCATGCTTATTTGGACGCTTTGGGGACCAGGTGCATTCAGTCAAAATGTTGGACTCGTCCGAAAGCACCTGGTCCTCCACGTGCATATATCGTAATAATGTGTAGTGCACCGAGGCCCATTCAAAAGTACGCACATAGTTTAAGGGAAACCGCTGTCAGTTTGTCAAACTCCGTTCTTGCCAAAATCAAAACGGAGTACTTCCTGAAGCAAACAAACAAACCCAAAAAAAAAACATACTGCTTCCATTTTTCAGGAGGAGAAGAGAGGGTTGGGGGGGGGAGGGGGGGGGGGGTTGCAAGCGGGGTGATTATTTCGGCAAACGTAGTATCCTTTTTTTTTTTAGGGCGATGAGCTTGAGACGTCATCTCCAAACTGACCATCACCAGGCAAAAAATTCAGTCAGAGTCATTTACTCCTCTGCATTCATTAGGATTCTAACTGAGGTCTGCATTTCAAACGTTCATGGGTGTACCGACTGAGCTAGGCTCGTTGGTTGCAATTTGCAAACGACTGAGCTAGGCTCGTTGGTTGCAATTTGCAAACGTAGTATGCACAGTTAGGAGGGCAGGCAAATTCAGAGTTAGTATTTACTCATCTGCGTTCATTAGGTCTGTATTTCGACTGTTACATGGGTTTCATTATCGTATGAACTTGAAGCTGGGCATACTCGTGCTGTGCCAATGTTCTTTCTGTCGGACTTCGGCACTACTGATTTACGAGCTGAAGACTGAAGTCAAGTTCACCTCCTCTCTCTCTTTAATTAGTAATTCGCCATCGATCCTCGAACCGTGGTCCTGTCACCACCAATGACTCTCCGAATAGGCAAAATGATGACCTTTATACAGACAGACCAACGCCGTAAGATGTTGGGAGGGCAGGTAAGTTGTTCCCACCTTTCTTTTTCTTTT